AAATATAATTGAGCAAAGAGTATGGGCCGGGGGACCATTACATTCAATTATGCTTCACATGAGCTATGTGATATATATAAATCCAATGATTTTGAAAGAAATATGTGACGAGGTGCATATTTATATTGTTGCTTTATGAAGTGTATTCATCACAAGAAATTAGCTTAAAAATATGAAGGAACCAGCTATTTATTTACTATTGAATTATTAGTTTTTATGGTGGGAAGATTTGCATACCCATGCCAACAAAAATGATACAGGGGCATGTATATACATACCATATAATTCTTATGTATATATTTATCCAACACCTAAACATTCATGTACATGTCTACGGTGTACCACTCAAATATTTATGCTTCATTTAATCTGTCGGTGAAGCTCTGTTTTGTTTAGTGCAGTGTCGACGCCTCAAAAATTTGGACATTATGGATCGCACAGGCTCAGCTCCATCTACAGAACTGAATTTTGAAGAAGCTTCGCCGAAGTTCCCTCAAACAAAGCATGCATGCAAATTTCTCAAGGAGGTATTGTTAGAATATTTTGATATTTTTTTGATAGAGTTATATTAGTTTTATGACTGGTCTTATAATTTTCTTTTTTAATTGATATATCATTAACAAATTTTTCATCAAACACGAATTTTGATGCCTGATATGAGTCTCGAGATAATATTTTGAGCAAGAAGTGTTGATAAAAAGTCAATCAAAACTCCAATTTTTAATAAACATGCAATCAAACTGACTGGCTCGACGAGACGGACCCAATGGTATCAAATTGGTCTAATTCGAGTCAAATCATGATCAGATCAAGTCCTTAAACCACATTTGGAAGCTTTTCGAGAATATTTGAAAAGACAAACCAATGTCAAATTTGACGAGTTCATAGTCGAATCGAGCATCTCCTCGACAAGATGAATCCAATGAGCACAGGATTGCTCAATTCCGACATCATTAAGACACTCAAATGTTCATCAAATGTCTTCTAATCGAGGGAAGCTCTTCGAGTTGTTTGATCAAAGTAGTTGATATTCTTGCATTAATTGAACACATAACTCTATAAATAGAGCCAAATCTCTCTCGTGAGGGGGGGGGGCTTGAGACATGAAGCTTTAAGAAAGAGCTGAAATCCAACATCGCTCTTATTGTCATTGATCACCGCCAACAACAGTTAACCACCGCTGATCGTCGTCGATCGTAACCAACCACTGTCAACTACCACTCATTGGTTGTCTCCGATCAGTATAGTTCACTTTCTGTTCTTTGCAACAAGTTTATCCACACATTGATGTTGTAATTCAAAAGACTTTATAATCATTTTCTGTCTGTAGGACAAGAAGTCTCTGTAATCATCAAATTATAATAGATTTTTACAATTAGGCTAGACCCCTGTGGTTTTTCCCTTTCTGAGTTTTCCACGTCAAAATTTTTGGCGTCTCTCCTGGTTATTTTCATCTATCTGAGTGTGTGTTGAATCTTCGTGCAATGTTAAAACGATAAACTATTACTCTACTGCTACGAATCTTCTAGCACGCATCGATAATTTATTTTCTGTTATGATTATATTTATGATTTTATAATGATTTATTTGTATTTCATTAATAATTTAGTTATATCTATCTCATAATTTAATAATATTATTTGGCCATTTGATTGCATTAATGTAAGACATTAGTAATAGGTGTGTTATAAAAATAATTTTTTTTTGTATTAATAAAAAATATTAATTTTGCACACACTAAACCCTATACTCGAAAAAAAAAATTTTGATTCACACATTTATAGTACTAAAATAAAATAATAAATGAAAAATATTAATAAATAATCGAATAAAGAAAAATGAGACCTAATCCTAAATATTTTTAATAAATTTGCCAATTCAATTTTTGAGCCAATTGTCCAATATTGCCTGAGCTCTCTTATTTTGGAGAAATATTTGTGTACGAAAAATGTACGCAGAGTTGCATACATTTTAGGTTATTCGGAGGGTATAACTATGTTACACTTAAGTTAAACCTAAAATATACACAACTCTGCGTATTTTTTCCGTACGTAAATATTTATCCTTATTTTGACACAATTACACGCGACAAAGTTCTATTTTTTTTTAAATATAAAATATTTTATATATGTTTTTCAAGACTTAAAATTATATTTTTATATTATGTTCCTCCTATCTGAGGATTGGAGCAGGTCAACTAACCATTTCTATTAAAAAAACACACGAATCGCTATAGGATTTATGGGTCATCGAGCACTAATTTGTGTTATGATTATATTAATGATTTTTATGACAAGTACATTGTATTTCATTAATAATTTAGCTATACCTATCACATAGTTTAATTATATTATTTGGCCATGTGATTGCATTATCGCTCAATACATGATAACATGAGGTAAGAAATTAGTGATAGGAGTGTTATAAAAATAATTTCTTATTTTCTTTTTGTATTAATGAAAAATATGTAATATATCCTTGAATAATTTTTTCTAAGAGCTTAATGAAATTTATAATTTAAATATTTGAATTTAGCAATTTACCAATAAAAGGAAATTGTGTAAGAAAGTCGAGCTAAGTTAACTTTGGGTATGTTTGGGGCGGAGGTTTTCGCATGGCGCGGGGAGCGATCGCGAATCTCGGCCGTTTGGGGCGAAGGCTTTTGCGCGGCGGTATGCCTTTTTGGCGAAACGCGGGCAGCAGATTGAACCCTGCGGCCTGCATTCGAGCGATGGATTATTACCCTGGTTACCCTTTGTCACTGCAGAGATGTGGGAGAAACTAGAGATGCTGGAGAATAGAGATGGCTTTGCTCCGTCGCCATTGCCATGAACTCCCATTTCACCATAGTAGGAGAAGACAGCAGGCAACAGCGCCTGCGATTCACCCTCTTTCC